TCACCGACTGAGCCAGCTCAGTGCCCCCAGCTATACTTTAAATCATTACATTGTGATCTTACATTTTAACGTGTTCTGTAAAATATTTTTTCAGAAAATGCTGTAAGAGACCGAAAAAAGCAATAAATACAGAATGTTTTCATAGAAATCAGGGAGAAGGAAGGTTAGGGTCCATGGTAACATTGAGAAGAAAACGTACTGCAGAAGAGTATGGGAGGAGCCACGTGACTACTGTGTATTCTCCGGAGCCGGCATTCTGACACTGTCCCTCCTGCCCCTGTCCCAGCTCGCCTGAGGCATGGCACAGAGCCCTGCCAGGAACAGGGCAGTGGGTGCTGCCCCCGTGTCGACCCCTGGAGAGTCAAGTGTGGTCAGATCTTAGGGTGGATCCTCAGAGCCACAGGCCGCACAGTAAAGAGCCCATGCCACTCCAGGACCAGACAGCCATCACAGTGACTGAACGTTCCAAATAGTGCAACATCTCCTATTTTGGGGGTAAATAAACTGACAGTCTGGGACTCAGCTCACGAGGATAATCCCAGATTTTCCTAGACCAGATTGTTAGATGTCCTAGAAGTTGAGTCTGGCTAACATTTGGATTGTTCTTTCTTAATATCTCATTTATGGGTCCCAGAGTGTTTTTAAAAGGCCACGACCAACTTGCTCTTTTGTGCAGAAACTTTAAAAGAGACAGGTGAGGGCCACCTGGCTGGTTCAGTCAGTAGAGCTCGCAACTTTTGATCTCAGAGCCGTGAGTTAAAGCCCCAAGTTGGGCATGCAGTCTACTTAAAATAGATAAATAAGCCAGCTGAGTGCTCCGTGTAGTTTTTTGTGCTTCTGTTTTTGGTGGAGAAGGAAGGGCTAATGGGAAGAGCTGTCTTCCATGTTTCTATCACTCTTTTTTGTATCTTTTTATTTCTGTGGCCACCGTTACATTTAGCATAGTGACTACTTCCTCCTTATAACAGTATCTGTAATTGACGATGGTTTGATTTCTTAAACAGCATTTCCAATGTATGATACTGTTGATGACATGTCATTGTTTGTAGCTGACTCGACACTTTTCCCAGCCTGTCCCACCAGCAGCTAGCTCATGCAGTGGTGGGCTTTTAAAGATACTTTTAGACAAATGTTTCAGTGTTACAAATGACATTAACTAGCTGGATGCCACTTCATGCCACTTTCACTGATTTATTTATATGCACAGCCACACATACACAGACTGCAGGGAAAGCGAGGTGTGCTTTGTTTCAGCGCACAAATGTGGCTTTATTAAAGTAGTTCAGTTGTAAAACTAGCTCCCTCGTCATTAGAGAAATCTGTCATTGAGAACTGGCCAGATGATAAGAGTTTATTCTGCCCAATAGCTTAGACAAATTAGAAGAAATAAATCTGTTATGTTTTAGAATATTGGGTAACTTTATTTTTTTTTTAAAGATTTTATTTATTTATTTGACAGCGAGAGAGGGAACACAAGCAAGGGGAGTGGGAGAGGGAGAAGCAGGCTTCCCGCTGAGCAAGGAGCCCGACGCGGGGCTCGATTCCAGGACCCTGGGATCATGACCTGAGCTGAAGGCAGTCGCTTAACGACTGAGCCACCCAGGCGCCCCGAATATTGGGTAACTTTAAATAGAACATTTTTAAATCCTAAAATTATATAAGACAAAATTCAGTCAAGTGATATTTTCTCATTTTAGCCCCTAAAGTTGTCTTATTATTTATTGGTTTTCATTTTTTTTCAGAGCATGAAATAAAACATTTTAAAAACTAATAACCTAGAATATGAAGGGTACTTTTTTCCCATAGTCTTTATTTTTTATTTTCATTTTTTAAGATTTTATTTATTTATTTGAGAGAGGGTAAGTGAGAGAGAGAACACAAGCAGGGGAAGTGGCAGAAGCAGAAGGAGAAGCAGGCTTCCCCCTGGGCAGGGAGCCCGACGCGGGGCTCGATCCCAGGACCCCGGGATCATGACCTGAGCTTGAAGTCAGATGCTCAACTGACTGAGCCACCCAGGCGCCCCGTCTGTGTTTATTCTCTAAAAAGACTTTTATTGTGGGGAATTTACATACAAAAGTGGAGCAGAAGAGTGTAATGAGCCCCAGGTACCCCAATATCTGTCTTTCCTTCTGACCAGTCTCTCAGCCTCGCCCTTGTTCATTCTCTGGAGTTATTCTGAAGCATATTCCAGACATCACATAAGCGTTTCCATCTGTATCTGTATAAGATGATTTAAAAAAAAAAAATGACCATGATAATGTTTACTTCAAAAGGTTTTAGTAATTACATGATATTAACCAGTATTCAAATTCCTAATGTAAAAAATTTTAGTTCTATTTTATATATGACAGCTTGTCTTTATTAACATGAAAAGTTGCAAAAAATTTGGAGTCCTGTTAACTGTTTATACAATATATATTAATATCTGCTTCAAATAAACTTGTGCCTCTGAAGTAAAATCTCACAGATTCCAAGATACATTTTACTCCCCATCTTTCTGCACAAAAAAGTTCTCTGACCTCCTTTTTGGCAATGTGAGTCCGTCTCTCGTTGGCTTATCAGGATGAGGCCTCTTCTCTCACTTTTCGTGAATGTCTAATTGGTTTGAGATTTCTTGGTCTTACTCTTCTTGTTTACAGGATTGAGGGAACCTGAACATTCTGTACTGAGGAAACAGAACAGAGGGTTGAATATGGCAGAAGTCCATCTTGCCTTCATCATGGTGCTCTTATGGTATAAGTAATGCATTCATTTGGGGGTGGGACGGAGTGGGCAGGGATTGGGAAATTCTTAACAGAATTTATTTCCACTGGTGTGAGTATTACAAAGGAATGGCCTTGGAAACTAAGGCAATTTGTAACTTTGGATGAAGTGACTTGCTTTCCGAGAGCACCATTGGACAAAGGAAAGGGACTTCTGTTGGCTGAATAACCCATTTACTGTATCTCCCTAAGAAGATACAGTTCGAATAATAACAGCATAGGAATAACCATAGTCATTTAGAATTTTGTACAGGTCAAATCCCGTTACAACAAACTTCAATAGGATATCCAAATTCCATATATCATATTATAGAACTTTTTTTGTTCTTTCCTTTCCTGAGGGAGAACAAGCGCAGGATTCAACATTTTGGGGGCATTTTGGCCCCATTCAGCAACCAAATGAACACCATAGCCAGTTTGCCCATGACTCAGACCGTGGATGCGAGTTTGCCCGAAGCTGGCTGGCTCTGTGGCGGAGGCTGTGCCTTGAGCTTCACAGCGTGGCTGGTCCTTTAGTCGTGCTGACAGAAAGTGTAGTGGGCAGCAGGATTGCTTGGTGCTTTGGGCGAAGACTAACCATAAATGAAAGATGGAGGGCCAATTCGTGAGGAGCTGGTAGGCCACTGGGGAGAGAGGGGACAAGGAAAGTCTGAGTCTGAGGTCGCAGCGCAGCCATGGGGGTGGTTCAGAGTTAAGGCAGGAGCGAAGCTCTTGTGGTACCCAGTTGCTCCTCCCAGGAGGTTACCACATCACACACCCAAGCCGTCAGCAAAAGTCTACGAATATTTCTGGGGTATTTTCATTTTTGTAGCTTTCATTGTAACGGGATTTAACCTGTAACATCTTTCCATCAGAGAAACGCAGATTACCCAAGTGAAAGTATATATCCCCCCCTTTGTACTTTCTGTACTTTGTACCAAACGAACTTCACGGGATGTTAAAGATGTTACTGAATATGTGTAAGTGCAAGTCTTTTGCAGATAGCTTCATGAACATGGATGTTTGTTTGCCTTTATGCTGAGGAAGCTAGCACAGGCCCTGTTGTGCGGAGCGCGCCGGAGAGCGCCTGCGGGGTGTGTCCGTGCGGGAGGGACGGGCGCGCCGCCCCGACGCGCTGGGGTCTTGGAATGGCGCTAGCGTAGCTGGTGTTGCTTAACGTGGCATATTTTTTTTCCCTGTCCACACTTTCCACCCTTGGTACAGGTATTTTTGATAAAGCAGTGGAATGGAAAGGTATGTTTTTCATGGGATGTTCAAGAATCTTTTACCTTAACATTTCTTAAAAGTTCCCTTTATGGGCTTCCTTCTGTGCCTGGCTTAAGCCAGCCTAGTTTAATTATAACAACATTTCTAGAGGCAATATTTGAGTGTAAAATTTTGACATGATGCTTAAAAGTTTCTGACTTGCTTTCCTCCCTCCCCTTATTAAAGATAGTGTGAAGATTTTTAAAGCACTTGGGGTGGGGGGTTGCTTTTAAAAGGTACGATCTGTGACGTGAAGAAAGAATGTAGCCAGAGAGTTGCTTATGGTAGTTAAGGGTCTAGTTGTTATTGCTAGATCCCTGGTTTCCAACAATTTGCAGTTTCATTGAGGAAAGTGCTATAAAAATATCCTTAATATATTAATGTACGAAGTAAGTGTAAGGACTTTATTACACTCGCATGACCCTCTTTGTGGTGGAGGAGGAGTTCAGGTTGAGCCAGTGACAGGCTGAGCGAGCGGGGCTGGTCTGTGAAAGCGGCAGGTCGGCAGGCTCGTCGTACGGGTTCTGTGCCAAGGCTGCTGCCCGCACGGGGCTTTCCTCTCTGCCCCCGCTCTGTGCTGACCGTCCCGGTTCTTGCAGGAAGGAAGCTTCCTCGGGATAGTGTTGGCTTGAAGGAACCACCTAGCTAAATTGGGGAGACCACTTGACCCTTTGTCTTGGGAAGGCCTGATTGGAAGAGCGCCCCCTATTGACTTTCCTCTGACAATGAAATTGTGAAAAGGTACCTGGCTGTTTGGGGTCAACAGCACATTCCTTTTCTTGTAAAGAAATGAAGCGATCCCTCGGGTGTTGGTCCTAGTGCTGGACACTGGTGGTGCATCTTACTCTGCCGCTGGTGACTTCCGTGGGTTGAGGAGCACTCATTAAGGATCTGTGATGTTTTGTAAACCTTGACTGTTGTGGTGGTTGCAAAGTTAGTGTGTGTTTGGTGTTCCCCATCTCACCAGAAGTGTTTGCTTTTTCTCATTCGTAGAGGTCCTGTAATAAAGAGGGATCCGAGCAAGCTCAGAAAGAAAATGAATTTCAAGTAAGTAATTAAGTCCGTTCTGCATCTGTCTGAGGTTGTAAGCGGTGTTCGTGGTGCCAATTCGCTCGCCGCCCCCAGAGGGGCCAGACCGATTCTCAGAGGATGGGCTCTTTCCCCATGGGGAGCCTCCTCCCTAAGAACGAGCGTGCCCGGCTATTTTTAGTTCCTGCTGAATGTCGGCAGCGGACGTGTGGTGTCCTTATGGCAATCTAAACAGCATTTGGGGTGCCAAGAGAAGGCGGTTTAGGGAGCGCTTGTGTGTGACAGGACGTGGAGGCAACCTGGCTCGGGTGCTGTGCCTCTGACCCCCTCCTTCTGTCTGCGTGACACCGAAGCCGGTACTGCCCGGGTGAGCAGGAGTGCCTTTTCCCACCCGCGGTCCCCTGGTCAGAAGGGCCCCTCTCTGAAATGCTTATGCTCAGAAGAGCTTGAGGTCAAGAGCACTGATGTGTCGACCTGGTCCCTCTTTGAGGCTCAGAGTGGGAGTCTAGCACAGTGATGTCCACATGCCAGGGCTAAACCACCTTCGAGCACACTGGCCCAGTGTATGCACCCCACCCCCAACACAGACATAGGTACACTGGTTTTACTCGCTGTAGACTATTGAAATCGCCAAGAAATAGGAATTAAAAAGAGGTGAGATCGTAAAGGAATAAAAGTACTAATGTTTCCCCCTCACATGTTGGCGGATTGTTCCGGGTACACCCTGCTCTGGAGACCCCGGTCTGGTGGATCTAGAACGCATGCTCTGGGTGACACTGACGGACGCCACCGGGTGGGAAGCGATGGACATGCTTTCCGCCAGCCTGAGTCCTTGGTGTATAGGCCTGTGTGTGTCCTGGTGGTCGACAAGGCTGGGCCACGGGGGCCTCCGCGATGCCAGACCCACAGCGCGTTCTCAGTTCTAGTTAACTTGGCTTCTCCCTGCCCTTTCTGGAATGTTCTCTTCCCCTCCTTGGCTCCTTTCCGGGCCTGACCTGTTGTCTGAAGCGCTCCACAACTTGCCCGGGGCCCTCTTCCCATGCTGCCCCTCAGCGCCCATCCGCCCCCCACCTCCCCTGGGCCGTCTCGCCAGGTCCAAGGCCGAACACATGGTCTCTGCCCCACCCCCTCCGAGGAACCTCAGTGTCTCCTTTCTCTGCAGATGGAAAGCCAGGAGGCCCTCCAACACCCTCCTCTCCGTCACCCATATCTGAACCATGAGTCCATTGTTTCCCTGTGGACTCCACCCTGGGTCTGCATGCTCGCCTCCTTCAGTACCACCCACCTCCCTAGTCCAGGCTGCCCCCGTCTCCTCCACTCCTGCGCCAGTTGCTCCTCTGATCAGGTCAGCCTGTGGCCTGACATCCGTCAGCGCTCCCTGTGCCCCAGGCCGGCTTCCCCTGGTCTGACCCTGCTGAGCTTTCCATTCTCTTTGGTGTCCTTCCCCATTCTTGCTCTCCAGCCACGTTGTCCTAAACTGTGTGGCTTTCTTCGCAGATGCTGTTCCTTCCAGTTGGGATGCTCCCAACTTTCCCATCCCCGCTTCTGCTTGTAATTAGTACCTCACTCAAGGGTTGCTTCCCCACGGAGCCCTCCTGCCCTCTAGACTAGGTGTGTGTCTCTGTTTCATGCCCTCACCCCGAGCACCATCTGTCTCTCCTCTGTACTTCCTCTGGCTGTAAGTTTTCAGCATGATGCGATTCGTGTCTGCCTCCTGTTCCTGAGAGGGTCTGTGCTCAGGGCAGGACCTCGCCGCCTCGCGCTGTCTCGCCGTGGCTATGAAGCCCGCTATCCAGTGGGGTGCTGATAGAATTGTCGAATGCTGGCTGCAGCCGGCACTCGTGCACAGCTCTGGAACAGTCTGCCCCTTGCCTGCTGGTGCACACACTCCTTGTCCCTTCCTCTCCTCAGTCCACGATGTTCTCTGAGCCCCTTTGGATGGCTGGCCTTTGTCTGCAGTCTTTGTCCCCTGTCTTCTGAATGTTTCCTGTGCTAACTGGCCTCTGTACAGCCTCACTGTCCCAGAGACCGCTCCCCTGCAGCTCCCTGAGGGAGGATGTTTTCCCATCACATCCTGGTACTTGACGGGGGGAGGCGGCTGGGGGGGCGGGGAAGGGATGTCTTCTTGGTTTTTCCTCGTTCCTGCTTCCAAACCATTTCTCCTCTGTTGAAAACCCTCCTGAGAGCTACCCTGGTTCGGTGAAGATGTCCGTGTCCGGCTTGGTCTTTGGACCCGGTCACCTTGCTCTCTCTGGGCCCGCACCCGAGCAGCTGGGCATCGTTAGAGGGAAACCCCACGGTCGGAGGACCACTGGCCTGTCTGGGAGGCTCGCCTTCCTGACCGGGCCCCTCCCTGCCCGGCTGCTATGACCTCGGCCCTCATCTTCCCACTTCCAGCCCAGGAGCCTTTCCGCAGGCTGGTCCTTCCCTTGTGCTCCCGACTCCAGCTCTCCTCTCCCCCTGTCCACGGGCGTGTTGCCGCTGCCCCTCACAGGGGACAGAGCTTGCCGGCCTTGCCCATATCTGCTCCCTCTCTGTAGCAGGATTTCTTTTTTTCTTGGAAAAAAGTGTTGAGTGTTTGGGACAGCACAGAATAACATAATAAACACCCTTACCCCACTGCACAGAATCAGTCATTGATTTTGTTATATTGCTTGATTTCAGTCTTTCTTGTATACATTTATTTTTTAACTTTTTATTTCAGAAGAAGTGTAAACATGCAGGAAGTTAGCAGAACTAGGACGGGGAACTCCCCTACACCCCTCTCCCAGTTCCCCTGTCACTAACACCTTGCACAGCCCTGACCGACGCCAGCATGATAATAGCGGCTAAGCTACAGGCCTTATTTGACTTTCCCAGGTTTTTCCACGGACGCGCTCTCGCCCTGTTCCAGGGTGCCGCTGGGGCCCTGCGCGGCGTATGCTGCTTGTCCTCCCTCGTCTGCTCCATCTGCCTCCGTGTTACTTCCAGTCCCGAGGCTTGTTAAGCACATGGATCAGTTATTTCAGAGAATGTTCCCTCAGTGTAGGTTCGTCTCACCTTTTCTTGTGACTGGAATGAGGTTATATATTTTTGGCAAGAATATCACAGAAATGTTATTCTGTCTTCTCCAAAAGTTCATAATCTCGATATTCTTATTACAGGATTTTAATTTTTATAAAGAAATACAACTGTGTAGGTAAAGTGAATTGTCAGTCCGCACACCTCTGCCTCCCCAGCAGTCCCCCTCCCTCTTCTATTCGCTGTTCGCTCCCCCGCCTGCCTGTACCCTGCCCCATCTGGTCACACCGAGGACTTCCCCACTGTTGGACCCAGCGGCCCCCTTGCCCTTCTCCCATGTTTCCCCTGGCAGCCGGCACACCTTCACCCCCACGGCCGCCCTCCTGCCCCCATCTGAATCAGGGCTTCACGTGGTGGGTTGTAAAACCTTGAAGGGCACGTGAAATGTCAGCGTTTTTGCTGCTTTTTTAAAATGAAATAGGCTAGAAAATACTAGAAAGTCTTGCACAGTGGTGAGCATGGAAGTTTGTTTTAGGGGTTGGATGTGTTGGGCAGCTTGCTGGGTAAAACGGGCTCCTTCCGGTGGGGACAGTCGCTGGGAGCGCTCAGGCTCTGTTGCGGGTTCCTCCTCGGCGGCCGCGCGTCAGCCTCAGACGCTGTGCGTGTGCTGAGGACTTCAGGGCTGGCCGGACCTCCCGGCTTCTCCGGGCTCCTTTTGTCTCCTTCCCTGATTGCTCTGCTCCACTGGGGGAGGGGGGCTCCCAGGTCCCTGAATGTGCTTGCTTCTCACCCCTCAGGTGTCCGTGTCACCATCTCCTTAGAAGCAGCCACCCCGACCCGCCCTGCCCCGCCCTGTCCCCGCAGTTACCGCAGCCTGCGCTGGCTTTGCCCATCCTTGTCTGCCGCTCGCTCTGGAAGGGGGTCCCTGGGTCGTGTCTTGTTCTTGTTTCCCCGGGGCTTAACACAGTGCCAGGCACAGAGGGGACCTCCAGTAAATATTTTTGGGCTAAATATATATGAATGTTCCTGAATCCAAAGTAGATCGTTTCAAGTGGAGGTAGGACCTTCTGTCCCGAGAAAGTGCGGCCAGCTGTGGTTAGGGGGCCGGTGGCTGCGCCCGGGCATGCTGGGGCAGAGGACTGGGTCGTGTGGGTCCCGCCCTGTTCTTTACTGTGCTGGCTTCCTTAAATAGCAAGCAGGAAGGTGTTTGGAGACCTGGTAGTTACAAAAAGGCTTCCAGTAGTTGATGCACTCCTTCTAAGATTACGTACTATCCCTCTTAACCTCTCCATTTTTCTCTTTTTTTTTAAAGATTTTATTTATTTATTTGAGAGAGAATGAGAGATAGAGAGCACGAGAGGGAAGAGGGTCAGAGGGAGAAGCAGACTCCCCGCCGAGCAGGGAGCCCAATGTGGGACTCGATCCTGGGACTCCAGGATCATGACCTGAGCCGAAGGCAGTCGCTTAACCAACTGAGCCACCCAGGCGCCCTCCATTTTTCTTCTTAACCTGTCTTAAGTGTTTTCCTTCTTTTCTTCCTCCAAATTCTTTCCTCCACACGCAGCTCCCCTTTCTCCCTACTGGGAATAAATGCTGAACTGCAATATTACATGTGAACAAAGAGATTTCTTGTTTACAGTGTTCAGAGAAATGCCAGAATTGCAAAGCTCTTAAGTCTCCATCCACCTTCTCTCCACCATCCCGGGGACGGGTTGACTTGGCTCTGGGGGACTCTGGGCAGCGTGTCCAGCCCAGCAACGGCACGGCCTTTGTACCGAGTACACGTGATGCACAGCATGCTAAGCCCTCCTGAAGGAACGCAGTGGGGCTTCACCTCTGTATAAAGTTCGCAGCTTCAAACTCAAAGGCCTATTTAGGACCGGGCACAGATAGGCGTTTTACATGGAGCTCACCCTGATGTCCTTGGGCTTAGTCACTTGACATGGAGGGAAACCGAAAAACAAATTTTAATTCTGATGAAACCTGGATACCTAGACGGAAGAAATCCTGACGGAACTCTGAAATTCTGGGTGGGTGGCGGGGAGTGTACAGCTGGCTAAGGGCTGCACAACCCGCCTGCTGTCACACCCTGGAGCCCTGGGGTCCCGCCGTGCCCAGCCTGCCTTCGCCACGGCATTTCGTTTCGTGCGGGTTCCAGGTGGAGAGTTTGAGAGACGTCTTGCAGACCTGTGCACGCTCTTCTTCGGGCGTCTCGGGTGCTGGACGTGGGGCCAGTAGTGACTTACCTCCTCCAGGGGGTTCTCCTCTCAAACCCGGCTCTCAGCTCTGTGGACCTGACAGATCAGTGCTAGCTTTGTACTGTCCGTGTCTTAGTCTGCTGTAACAGACTCCCCGGGGCTGCCCAGACATTTATTTCTGGAGGCTGGAGGTCTGAGGTCTGGGTGCTGGCACGGTTGGGTCCCTGGCCTGCAGTTGCTGCCTTCTCCCTGTGTCCTCACGTGGTGGAGGGACGGGGGGAGGGACAGCAGGCTCTCTGGGACCCTTCATAGAAGGACGCTGATCACATGGACACCCTGCATGCGTGACCTCATCTATACGTAACCGCCTCCTAAAGGCCCATGTCCAGACACCATCCCTCTGGGGGTTAGGGCTTCAATGCATGAATTTGGGGAGGACATAGTTTAGCTCATAGCAGTCCTAGATACAAAACTCTAAATGAGGGGTGCCTGGGGGGCTCAGTCGTTAAGCGTCTGCCTTCGGCTCAGGTCATGATCTCAGGGTCCTGGGATCGAGCCCCGGATCAGGCTCCCTGCTCGGCGGGAAGCCTGCTTCTCCCTCTCCCTCTACCCCTGCTTGTGTTCCCTCTCTCACTGTCAAATAAATAAATAAAATCTTAAAAAAAAAAAAAAAACACCCTGCAAATGAGGGGCACCTCAGTTGTTAAGCGTCTGCCTTCCGCTCAGGTCATGATCCCAGGGTCCTGGGATCGAGCCCCGCATCGGGCTCCCCGCTCAGCAGGAAGCCTGCTTCTCCCTCTCCCACTCCCCCTGCTTGTGTTCACTCTCTCGCTGTGTCTCTGTCAAATAAATAAATAAAATCTTAAAAAAACTACAAATGAGTAAATAAGATTAGGCCTCACAAAGTGGTCAGGACCACAGTTGTAGGTGACAAAAGACAGTGGCTAAACTATAATTGTGGGAGGTCACCAGCTATCAAATCTGTTTGCTCCCCCAAATGTGAGAGTGACCAAATTACTTTTTCCTCTGATGTGGTTCCATGTCCTTTGGAAAAGGAACTTCTCTGTTTTCTTCTCTGTAACTTTACCATCCTGTCATTCATTGCCTGAGTAGGTCCTGTTGCGTGTGTGGTTTTTTTTGTTTGGTTTTTAGATTTTATTTATTTGAGAGAAAGAGTGGGGGGAGCACAAGCAGGGGGAGCAGCAGAGGGAGAGGGAGAAGCAGGCTCCCCGCTGAGCAGGGAGCCCCATTCGGGGCTTTATCCCAGGAGCCTGAGATCACAACCCGAGCTGAAGGCAGACGCCTAGTGACTGAGCCACCTAGGCGCCCTGCGTGTGTTTTTATAACCTGAGTTTAAAGAGCTGTTTCACTTTGGGCAGTGTTTCTGCGGGATCATAGTCCCCAGGGCGCATTTCTTAACAAGGGGTGAATAAGGATCACCTGAAAGCATTTTCTAGCTACACTTGCCAGCCCCTCCTCAGACACAGTGGCCTCAAGGCTAATTTGCTGTTTAATGGCAAAGGACTAAGGAGTGAATTTGAACTGAGACCAAAAGATAGTTGTGTTTTTTTTTTTTTTTAAGATTTTATTTCAGAGAGAGAGAGAGAGAAGGCAGAGGGAGAGGGAGAAGCAGACTCCCCACTAAGCAGGGAGCCCGATGTGGGGCTCAATCCCAGGACCCTGAGATCATGACCTGACGCTTAACCGACTGAGCCACCCAGGCGCCGCTAAAAGATAGTTTTTGAAGGCAGGATGATTCTAGATCCCACATGGGTTATTAGGACTGAAGATAGCATATGAGCGTCATTGGATTTTGGCAAGAGACAAACATTAAAACGGCAGCAGGGAGAAGATTGGGAAGAGCAGAGCATTGATCCCGTGAATGCTCCATGCCAGGGTGCTCTTTGGACCCCAAAACAGGCCCGGATCTGTCAGTTGCCCTTAAGGATCGGTTTGGGGGCAGAAGGCCCCTGTGGCCGGTGCACTCCTGCTCTGTGCTGACCAGAATGGACAGCATTGTGGTGGCCTTTGGGAAGATGTCATGGGTGGAACTTAGAGAAGTTTTAAAATAAATGCAAGCAAGAAAATTATACCAATAGACACTGTTCTATTTTTGGAATCAGTGACTCGGTTACACTTGAATTTTCAATCTCATCAGTATAGTGTGATGGTTGCAAGCGTGGATCCTGCAGATTACAAGATGTTGACCTCTGTTTCTTCGTATTTACAGTGGGGGTGGTACTGGTAGCGCCCGATGGTAGGGTGGCTGGGGGTTAGACAGCACTGCTCCCGTGGAAGCGCTTGTGGGCCCTGCACGTGGTCAGCCCTCAGTAAACATCCGGTGTGTTGCTGTCTGTTTTAGGGGGCCGAGGCCATGGTCCTGGAGAGCGTTATGTTTGCCATTCTTGCAGAGAGGGCGCTTGGGCCAAAGCTCTACGGCATCTTTCCCCAAGGCCGCCTGGAGCAGTTCATCCCGGTAAGATGTGTTCTCGACTGGTCAGTTGACAGGTGCCACAGACAGAAGACGGATTCTTTGTCTTGGTGCTGCAGGAGCCTGAGAGGTCATGGGCTGACATATTAAATGGGACTTAACATTATGAAACTGTATCAGAAATAAAGAAAAAACAGATTTCTATTGAATTTACATTAGAAACTCTGTCTTTCCTGCAAAGATGTTCATCCAAATGAAAACTATATACGAAACCTAACATTCCATTGTCCCCTAAAGCTGCTTGCCCTGAACCTTTCCCCTTTCCCCTTGTTCCTCTCAATTTCTGGACTGCCTTTAGAACTCAGTGTAGAGCCCCGTGGTCCTGGCCACACCAAGCCATACCTGGATCTTTGCCCTGTGGGGCCACCATTGTTCTTTGCCTTGTCTCCCAGCTCACTCCCTCCGTTTGAGTTTCCCCAGCTCCCGTGTGCCCGTCAGCTGACATTGCAAGGCCCAGCTCAAATCCTGTTTCCAAGAGCTGGGACTGTTTGCCTTTTCTTGCTGTCCTGAGGCATTTCTAATGCTGCTGTAACATCTTCACTGGTGTGAGCTGCTTGAGGACCAGTGTCACAAATGGTCTCATGCCCTGCCTCACGTGGCCACCTGGGTGTGCAGGCTTGCCCTGTACAGTTGTGCGGTGGTTAAGCACAGGGCCCCTGGCTGAAGGGATGCTCTGCTTGCCAGGACTCAACCTGTTTTCAGCGGGAGGCTGGAGGAAGGGGTCCTAATTGTCTAATCCCCACTGCCCAGGGGTAGGAGCCTTGTTGTGACCTGTGTCCCAGGAGGGGTGCCCTCTGCTGGTTGATGCAGTGGCCCCGTGTGTGCAGCTGCCAGCCTGGGGCTGTGCCGAAACCAGCAGCTGAACCCTCGCTGCAGACCTTCCGTCTTGGCCCCAGCACCTGGCTGGCCACTTGGCGGGGTTTTCATTTATAACTGTCCCATAACATCTGACTGGTATGAGAATCAGATGAGATAATAAAGTATCTGAAAGCATGGAAAATCTGAAACACTTCCTGTGGTTAAAATTAGGTGACATCTTAAGAACATACTATTGAGTGATAAAACCAGATTGTGGAAGACTACAAATAGTATACCATTTTAATAAAGCCCACTGAAAGCAAACAAAACTGTTTAAAATATACATGTGTGGTAAAACTTCTCTTTTTAGGGAAGGTAAAGGACCAGTGAGCACAACCCAGAATAATGGAACTGTCCTGCCCTGGACCAGGATCCGTGGGTTGTAGCATCTGTGGGATTGATACTGTTCTACTTCTGAAATTCTGTCCTCTTTTTTTGTATAATGTTTTATATAGTGAAGACTTTTGAAAGTTCTGTTAAAGTAGTAGGTTGAACCACATGAAACTACCAGTCATCAACTGTTTTTGACCCCAGAAATGGTGATTTCATTTGGCTCAGCCTGCTAGCACGTGTTATTTCCAGGTTTACCCCTGAGCACTGCATGGAGTGGGATGCATTCCACCTCGTCTGGTTCCCACAGCCATTTTTTCAGAGGGCACAGGAGAGTAGTGACTCTAAGGACCCTGGGTCAGTCTCCTATTGCTGTTTCCGTGTGCTGGGAAAGGAGCTTAGAACTCTGAAATATGTTCATCTTTGAGCATGGTTAGCCTGACTTTCCACAATGCCAAACAAAGTAACTTATGGCATTTTTTTAACAAAGCCATGTGAAAGCTGAGTGAGCTGCCACTAGGAGCTGAGTCCCTTGTCCTTAACCTTGGCCCGATCGCTTGATAACTTGGAGGATTCCCAGGTGGAGGAGGACGCGGTTGAGCCTGCTGCTTCCAGAAAGCTCTGAGCTCTCATCATCAGGCTCCCGCCATTTGTCGAGACCTCCTGGCTGGGTGCCAGCCCAGGGCCCTTGCCTGCCTTGTCTGCTCTAGGTCAGAGCAGCCCCGCAGGGACTCCATGTCATGCTTCTCATTTTATAGAAATCGGAAAGTCAGACACAGAGGTCTGAGTAGCATGCCTTTGGCCATGTGACTTTGAAATGAGGCTTAAGGCCAGAATTTGAGCTGGTTTTCTCTAACTTGGAGGAATACCATGGCTGTGGCACTCAGGATTTTCAGAGGCATACCTCTTTGGGCTTCTGTAGGGGAGCAGGGCATGTGGAAAAGACAGACTGGTCTTAGTTGATTGTGACTTCCTCGGGAGGAGGAGCTGGGCAAGCGCAGCGGTGGGGGCTGGGCCCCTCTGTTTCTTCGTTCAGCTGTGTGCTCTGAGAGCCTGCTCTGTGCTAGGCGGGGTGCCACAGGTGCCACCGTGGATGAGGGGGGGGTGTGGCTCATCCTGAACTCCTGGCCCTGCTTCTCAGGAGGACCTGTGTTGAGCACCATCTCTTGGCTGCGATGGGTCAGGCTGGAGTGTCCGAGCTGCTGAAGGAGTTGGACATTGCCTTGTGCAACAACCCTGAGACTCGGAGCTTTTAGCGAGGAGGAGGGCACGCTCTAGTGAGGGTACAGAGAAGAGAGGGGGAGTCCGCCTAAATGCTTGTATGTGAGAAGGACCTTCTCATGGTTAAAAGAGTTCGAAATAAAATTGGCCTGTGGAGGTGGCCCCCCCGCTTGCTGAGAAATGCCCCAGCAGTCGCTGGGTCACTGTCCGCGGGGCGCGTTCCACAGGGAGTTTCATGCGCCAGCTGAGACAGACTGGCTGCTAGGTCTTAGCCTGGTGTGATCGCACCCCTAACCCTCCAGGCTCCCCGGAGAAATGCTGTTTTCTGACCCCCTTGTTCATTCCAGAGCCGGCGCTTAGACACTGAAGAATTAAGTTTGCCAGATATTTCTGCAGAAATAGCTGAGAAAATGGCCACATTTCATGGTATGAAAATGCCATTCAATAAGGAACCAAAATGGCTTTTTGGAACAATGGAAAAGTAAGTGGTCAAACCGCTTGGCTCTAACTCCATTTTCTGTTAGCGGCTACCAGAGGTGCAGAGTGAGTACCCGTTTGCCGTGGTGGCCGGAGGTCTTCCTCTGCTCTGCCGAGCGGGTGGGCGGGCAGGGGACGAGCCTTCTCAAGAGCCTGGAGCCCCGGGCTGTGTCCCGGGCCACGGGCTTCCCACTGCCCTCTCGTGATTATACTTGACAGGAGCCCTGCCCGGGAGCCGCGATGAACCGAGCAGTGAATTTTGTTCTCCCTTTTTCTGCCAGATACCTAAACCAGGTGCTGAGGATTAAGTTTGCCGGGGAGCCGCGGGTGAAGCAGCTTCACCGTCTCCTCCACTACAACCTGCCCCTGGAGCTGGAATACCTGAGGTGAGGAGCCGTCACGAGCGCAGTCGGGTTTTTCTGAAACAAAACACGAAACAGAAGCGGCGGGGGCAGGTGGGGGAATCGTTCAGCCCGAGCTCCGGCCTGCAAGTAGGGGCGCCGCGCGGTCCCCGGGGGCGCACTCACCCCGAGCGCGAGAAGGCACAGCTCTCCTCACTCACGGGTGTGAGCGGTGTTGAGGACCTGGGGGCCAGGACGGCCTTCGAGGCGCTTGTGTCTTATTAGGAGAGACAGAGACAAGCAAACGCATCCCATGACGCCAGGTGGTGATCGGAGGTGTGACGGAAACCAGGGCCAGAGCAGACTGAGGAGGAGGCGTCGTGCTCTGGGCCGGGAGGGCCCGCCCGGGGAAGAGGGGCTGCGCGCGGGCCTGGCGTGGAGCTCCGGCTTGCGCCCCCGAAGCTCACGGGGCCAGTGCTGCAGGGAGGCTGCGTGGCAGTGCCGAGCACCAGTCCCGTTCCGGGCACACCGAGGCATCTGACCTGCGGTGTGATTCCCTTTGCAGGTCGCTGCTTGAATCCACCCCCTCTCCGGTTGTGTTTTGTCATAATGACTGTCAGGAAGGTAAGAATCGCTGCCTGTTACGTGAGGCTGGGCGTGCGTGTCTCCTTAGCGGCCTCCAGCGTGTGTGACGAATGCTAGGTGTCCGTGCAGAGGCGAGTACTTGCGTGAAATAATGGGATGGCCACACAGTGGAGTATTGTATGGCTATGAAAAAGAATGAGGTCGTTTTTATGCAGGCCAACAGAAGGATCTCCAGGATCTATTAAGAGGGAAAAAAGCGAGTTTTAGAAAAACACATGGGGTGGGGCGCCTGAGTGGCTCAGTCGTTAAGCGTCTGCCTTCGGCTCAGGTCATGATCCCAGGGTCCTGGGATCGAGCCCCAAATCAGGCTCCCTGCTCGGCGGGAAGCCTGCTTCTCCCTCTCCCACTCCCCCTGCTTGTGTTCCCTCTCTCGCTGTCTCTCTGTCAAATAAATAAATAAAATCTTCAAAATAAAAAGAAAAACACATGGGGTGTCTTCCCATTTTTGTAAAAAATATATTCATGGAAGAAAAAATGAGAACATTCACTAAACTGGGAGCTTGGATAAAGGACCGAAACCTTCTAAGTCACATGTTTGTTCAGTGTTTAACTCTGGTGAACACGCACCTTTGATAATCTGAGAACGCAGTAAGAGGTGACCGCCCCGCTCTTTCCTGGGGGCCTTGCCCTGGCCACAGCTCACAGCTCATCGAGGCGATCTGCTCTCTTTGGGTTTCTCTGCCTTTCATAAAGTATGATGCCGGGTACCCCTCCGTGTGACTTCAGACGGAGGCTGCATCTAGCTGGGCAGCTCCCGCTGGTGCCGCAGTGGGGCCGGGCTTTGGTGAGGCTTTGCCTTGCTGTCCCTGTCCTTTCCATCACGGCTGGCTCACATCCACTCTTGGGCCCTTTGCCAGGCTCAGCAGTTTGTTTTTAATTTTGACAATAGTTCCTGTTGAAGACCAGTCATCAATCAGACATTAGTGTGATAGTTTATTAATTAGCTGATCATTGTCGGGCAAGTCGAGCAGGGTGCAGACTGTTAGCGGGCAGTAGTCAGCTGCGCAGATGTCACCAGCGGGGTCTGAGGGGGGCCTGCTGGCCAGTGAAAGGCTAGAGGAGGTGGGGGTTGTACATTTGCTTTGTTCTGCTGCTCTGAGCGTCTCCTTTTAATGTCCCCTGGAAACGGATTTTGTGTGCCGAAAAGCCTAGAAAGAGCACCTCCTGCAGAAACCCTGGAGAGAGCGTGGCCAAAAAACTAGCAAAGCCTGGCTCACCAGTGCTCACCCGCCAGCCTGGTAGTGACCGTTGCTGGACATTGTGTCACCTGTGGGAGGTCTTGGAACGGATGCCTGAAGAGCCAGTCTGGCCGCCAGTTCACCTCGGGCCCAGAATTCAGCCATACAGGAAATATGGTGGAAGGAACGCTGCCTGTGGTCTCCTTGGAGAACCAAACGAGGCAAAGCATCGGGGCCAAGTAGGGTCCACAGAGCCTGGTGGCGGCTGAGCACACCCGTGGTGTCCTCATCAGGGAGGACAGCAGGACACATCTTCCTAGCTGCTGGGGAGGTTGGGTCGGCTAGAACTCCACCATGCCAGTCAAGCATTTTCCTTTGTACCCGTGTGTGAAAAGTCTGGGGAGTGCTGCCCCAACAAGCTAAGGGAGAGCCATTCTTGTTCCTGGGTGAGCATGGGGCCGTGTTACTCTCGGGCTCTCAGTGTGGCCCAGGGCCTTCTGCCCGAGGGCTGGGCCTCGGGGGGCGGTGCTCCTCCCGGCACTCCACGGCCTGTGCTCATTCACTGCATGGTTGGGGTTCCCTGACAGAATCAGAACCACTCTTGGCCCTTCTGTTCAAGGACTTGTGCCTTCGACTATGCAACACAGCCATAGTAAATGGCATGTCATCTAAACCTTTTTGCAGGTAATATCTTAATGCTGGAGGGCAGAGAGAATTCCGAAAAGCAGAGACTGATGCTCATTGACTTCGAATACAGCAGTTATAATTACAGGTATGAAACAGCTACAGGAGGAACTGGGGAGCCATGCCATGGGACCCTGGGAGCTAGCGCACTGTCCCAGCAGCCTGCAGCCGTGCAGGAAGCAGCCCGGGCCTGTTCCTCGCTGGTGGTGGGGGTGCAGCAGTGTGAGTGATCAGAACTCAGAATTTGGTGTTTTGTTGGCTTCAGAGATCAGAGTACTGAGTAAAAGAGAATGTTCTTGAACAACTGCCCCTGTGTGGTGGGTTGGGTGGCGCTTTTTGTAGCATCAGTCAGCTCTGGTTCTGGTAACTGCCCTGTTGGCTCTTCCTGTCCCTGAGGCAGTCGTCCTTGGGGGGGACCTCAGGAAGGACAGTTGTTGCTGGGAGGGATGCTCATGACTCGGCCTTTTCCCTTCTCTGACCAGGGAACCTCAGGGTGTAGCAGCTTGCCCCCTTCTCTGCAGCTCTTACCTCTTTTTCAGGGGATTCGACATTGGGAATCATTTCTGTGAATGGATGTACGACTATAACTATGCAAAGTACCCTTTCTTCAGAGCGAACATCCTGAAGTACCCCACCAAGAAACAACAGGTAGGAGACGGCTGTGTGTAGGCTTGATAGTAGCTAAACTGCAGGAGTCTATTTTATGCAGTTAGAATTGATTGCATCTTCGTTTTTAATGACACGCCCCCCCCTTTTATTTTTAAAGATTTTGTTTATTTGAGAGAGAGAGATTGCAAGAGAGAGCACAAGCAGTGGGGAGAGGGAGAAGTAGGCTCTCCGCTGAGCGGGGAGCCTGACATGGGGCTCGATTCCAGAGCCCTGAGATCATGACCTGAGCCGAAGGCAGATGCTTAACCGACTCAGCCACCCAGGCGCCCCTAACGACACCCTTTTCAAATCGCAGAATGGTTAAGCAAACCCTTTTGCTCTAAAATGTTATTTTGTGTCAGGACACAAACCTGACATTTTAATCCCCGTGCCAGAGATAACCTGTATTCATTCAGTTAGAGAACACAGTCTCTTTTGTAGCTCCTTCTAGTTTTTTCCAAAAAGTCCAGCCTCTGACCTGCCTCCTGGCCTTCTTTGTGGGGATCATGGTGTTCCCTGTGTGTGTTTCACTCTGTGCAGACAGAATTAGCCTTTGGGCACCGTGACTTAGTAGCTGCTGTGCTATTACAGTTCCCTTTCCTGTCCTGAGCGGGGAGGGGGCGGCTGTGTGAAGAATCACCCCCTGGGTGTCCTGGGATCGAGCCCCGCGTCGGGCTCCGTGCTTAGCGGGGAGCCTGCTTCTCCCTCTCCTGCTGCTGTTCCTCACCCTGCTTGTGCTCTCTCTCAAATAAATAAAATCTTAAAAAAAAAATAATCACCCTGTGGGGAATTCCTCCTTGGGAGCCCCTACTCCATTCCTCAGCCCACCTTTGGAGCCGTGGGTTGAGGGTGAGTGGGTAGCGATGTGGAAGCACGCCGGGCTGGGGAGAGGGTCCCCCGAGCCTGTGCAGGGCAGCAGCCCACCCCCCTTTGCAACCCCTGCTACAGGACAGCCATTTCCATGGAGCCCTGCCGGCTCAGCCGCTTTTCAGAGCGGTCAGGGCAGCATGAGGATGGGGATGTTGATCGGTTGCTGCTGTATTTACCTCAGGAGAGGTCTCTTGGGCACTCACCTGTGCCAGGCACGGTGATTGTGTCTTCAGCAGATGGCCCACACGCCAGGGGCCACCATTCAAATGTTGACTTGCTGTGGGACCAAAACCCCATTGCCCTCTTCCTGCCGTGCGGGAAGGCCGACTGTGATGAGCTTGAGTACGTCCCAAGCAGAGCGGCCAGGCTGGTTCTGGGCCTCGAGGTCATGCTGTGTGAGGAGGAAGGGTGTGGGGGGGAAGGAACACAGCAGCAGTCTTTGTAAAAGACTTCGTAAAAACTGGGCAGCTCCAGAGGTGCCAACTCTCCAGCCAGGAAGAGGGGGGCTTTCTGCCGGCGAGAAGGCAGGTTCTGGCGTGGTGGGTGGCGATGGACGGCAGAGCTGTGTGACTGGCTGCACCGCGCAGCCACGGAAATGAAGGAGGTTCCTTTTCGATTTTCTGAGCAGTTTTAAAAGTCACGTAGTGGTGTTGGTCTTCATTAGCTACCCTTTCTGCACCTAGTAGGTAATCTCATGCTTTTCTTTCTTTAGTCTACTAATGAGATGTTTTAAAATGTTAAACCGTCTTGGAATTCCTAAAATAAACCATTTGAATGAGGTGTGTTATTTTGGAACGTTCTGCTGGGTCCAGTTAGTCTCTTATTTAGGAGTTTGACGTCTGTGCACATACGTGAAACGGGCTTTTAACGGTCATTTAAAAATTTTTTATTCATACCTGGTTTTGGAATAAAAATTATGCTAGTCTAATGAGTTTGGTGTCCCTTTGTAATTTTCTGGAACAAATTTATATGAGATGTTCTTTGAAAATTTTGGTAGACTTTGTAAGAAAGTGTGGGCCTAGAACTTTTGGGGAGGGAAGGTCATTAGTTATTCTCTCTTAGGTATCGATCTATTCAAATTTTCTGTCTTCATTGGCCTATTCGAGCATTTATTATCTCCCAGAAATTAACTCACCTCGTGTGGCAGTTCAAGCGTGTGTTTTAAAAACCGTGTCTGGATTTGAACCCAGATCTGCCACTGTTCACTGTCACCTGCTGACTCTGTGCTTCAGTTTCCTTGTGTGCAGAAACAAAGGCTCAGGGGCGCCTGGCTGGCTCAGTTGGTGAAGCGACTGCCTTCGGCTCAGGTCATGATCCTGGAGTCCCAGGATCGAGTGCCGCATCGGGCTCCCTGCTCAGCAGGGAGTCTGCTTCTCCCTCTGACCCTCTTCCCTCTTGTGCTCTCTCTCATTCTCTCTCTCAAATAAATAAATAAAATCTTTAAAAAAAAAAAAAAGAAACAAAGAAACAAAGGCTCAGGACGGTGCCCGCTACATAGAATTTACTAGGCATGAGCCATCCCCTTGCCTGTGCCAGGGTTACTCCTTCCGGAACGCCCTGCTAGGACGGCGCTCGCACTGGAACGCTGCTTTCTGGTGGGAGGGGGTGCCGAGTGTGAAAGCCACCTGGGAGAAGGCAGATGGGCGAGGTGGTGGAGGGCCGGTGTTGGCATTCCAACTAGGTGATCAGTTAATGGCGTTCTTTTGGATAGAGCAACTGCCTGCTGTTTCCTTATTTATAAAAGAAGGCGAGTGGTGGTTTGCTGTGTTCTGGTGCCGTTAGGTATAGTGTGAGGTACTGAAGAACGGGGTCTCCTAAATCCTGATGCATGGGCAGACTGCGCGTGGGACCTGGTAGAACCTCTTCTCCAAACCAGAATTAGATCTTGCCGATTTATGGACATAAAGGCATCACCACAGCAGCTCGGAGGTGGAAGGCCCCTTCGCCTGGTCCGGTCGGCTCCCGCTCTGCCCAAGCCTCTGCCAACGACCTCAGGCTCCCAGGCGCCTGTGCGGAATGGCAGCCCGTGTGCGGGGACGTGTGACGTAGGCTTACCCTGCTTTGCGACCAGGCCGTGGGAAACATGGGTGTGGAGTAGATTCCTCCTCGGTGATTTTGTCCAGAAGTAGTAGTGGTTTACTGTGCTTGTCTTGCCGACAGTGCGGCATCGAGTGCGGTAGGGTTCTGCCAGGAAGCCGGAGATCACTGCCGCACCGGTGAGCTTCCTCCAGGCTCCCCTGGCCGTGCGGGTGTCCTCCGGGTGTGCCATGCTTCCGGACAGCTGTTGACACCGTCTGTCTCACCGTCACTGACTCTAATGTGATTACTTTTCTTTAAAGCTCCACTTTATTTCCAATTACTTGGCTGCATTCCATAATGAATTTGAAAACCTCAGTAATGAAGAAAAGTCCATTATAGAAGAAGAAATGTTGCTTGAAGTCAATAGGTAATTTTTTTGTTGTTAATTTATAAGATAGTCGTCTGTTTATAGAATATAATTGGGGTGCCGACTTGCAATCATGATTTTAGGAGCTTCTTTATACCCATACATTTCTGGGACTTGTATTTTGTCAAAAACTAAGCGTGTGGTACCTCTCCAGATTGCAGCACCCAGCAGGTGTGGAGAGCAGGGTCGATGTACAGGGTCAGGGTGCGTGGATGGCGCTCCGCGCTGTAAGCCACGTACAGGACTCAGCTGTACGAGGCTGTGCCGCCTAGGCCCTGTACACTTTTGCCACTTGATGCTCGTGGAGTGGTGGGCACCATCCAGTGATGTGTTTCTTCTAAAAACTGATTACAAATTGTAAGTGTTGGTTCTGAGTCTTGCTTTTAAACTGTTTCTTCAGTAGCTCTCAAAGCAGGGCTGAGAAACTTCCAGATTTCGTGAAAGTCTAGACCCTTGTTTATCACACACACTCATCTCTGTAGTCAAGAGACCTGAGTTACTCCCATTCGTTGAGCTCTCTTAGAAGATTCTTTGGTAAAAATGTTTAAGCGACTTCGGCCCACTTGTCCTGCCCGGCCCACTTACCACAGATCACCTCTTCCTGAAGTGTCCACACCGTTGTTGCTGGGCCTGCAGCCACCCTTGCTGTCCCGGGGCTCCCCCTGATACATAGATCTTCCCTCTCTGGTTCTAGAATGGATGAAAATAGAAAAATGGAGGAGAGCCCGACAGAAAGGGTAGCCCCAAGGGACATGTAGTGGGTCAGGGACCACAAGGAAAACAGTTGGGTTTGAGGAAGACACTGAAGCCTTCAGTGAAGCCCACAGGCCCTGTTGTGAGGGGAGCTTGGGTTCGCGGCGACGGGGGCCATGGTGTGGCCTAGAGAGGGCCGCCACCATGCTCTCCTCTGCTCTGTTTCACTGCTTTGGGAGGGGCAGGGGTGAGGGCGAGGCGGCATCCTACCTCCCGGGAAAGCCAGCGAGTCATCCAGAGGCCTGCACGTTCCTCCTCTCCCTGCATAACGCTTGCTAACGGTTGCTGATGCCACGCCTCACACGTGTAGCATAGAGCGTTTCTTTCCCAGCATAGCCCGTGCGCGGCCTTGTGTGGCCCCCGAGGCCTCCGTGTGAGTCCCGGGACTGTAGCTGGGCGCGTCCACACTGCACACCCACCTGCCCCCAGCCGGAGGTGGGAGAGGCCAGCTGCGGTGCCCCCACCCTGTTCCCGGTCCCTGTGGAATAGAATCCTGTTGAGTGGGCCAGGGCTGACCGGGTTTGCACCCCGAGGAGTTACAGGGCCCGCCAGCAGAAAGTCCCACCCCTGGCCTGTGGCCGGCGCCACACATCTCACGTGCATCTCCTGCTTTTGTAATTACAGGTTTGCCCTTGCATCTCATTTCTTCTGGGGACTTTGGTCCATTGTGCAGGCCAAGATTTCATCCATTGAATTTGGTTACATGGTATGTTCTGGGGGTGGTTTTCTCTTCTATTCCCAGAAAGAAAACTGTTCATCATGTTTGTTATTGCTTGGTGGGGGAGTCTCCGTTCTTCGCAGAAGGCTACCTATGTCGCTGTGCAATGAGCCCACTTGCACTGGCTCCGCATCTGCCTTTGGAGGTGGCCTCACTTGCAGGGCAGCAGGCCCACCTTCCCTGCTTCAGAGAGGTGCTGTCTGGCCCTGTGGCTCTGGTGGGGGATGTAGAGATCAGACCCTAGTGGTCTAGCCCTTGACCTCAGTCCTCTCTGACACAAGGGACCGCAGGTGAAGGAGCGCCCTGAAGCGTTTCCTCCTGCCGTTGCGGCTCCATTCTCCAGCCCGCAGCGCCCCACATCGAGTGCGCAGCTGGTGCTGACTGAGCCATCCTGTTTGTTGCAGGCAGGGTCGACAAGCCAGGCTGTCATTTTCTTCCAACCTTAGGAACTGTCCTTGACATAGTTTTAAACTGGGAGTCCAGCCCTCTGCTGCCCCGTAGTGAGTGTTGGTGGGGGCTCACAAAGTCTGGAGTGAGTGCCGTGCTTTAGGAAGGTGGAGGGAGTGACGGGTTCACGTCACCCTCCCGGTCCTGTGTTAGGGCGATTTCTGCTTCCAGGTAGGAGGTTTGGTAACGCACAGGTACTGTTAGGCAAAAGAAGGGTGAATAAGGAATTTTAAAGCAGATTTAGAGCCATGGTCAAATGAAATTGTTAAGACAAAGTGCACATCAAAAAATATTACCAAAGTAAGGAACAATTTCATAATAATGAAGGGATCAGTTAATCCAGAAGACATTAAAAAAATCCTAAATGTGTAGGGCAGGGGTCAGGGCGAGGCGGCATCCTACCTCCTGTCTTGCTTCAAAAGACCTAAAGCAGAACCTGAGGGAATTGAGCAGAGAGGCAGAGCCGGAAGCACAGCGGGAGGGAGAGGAGGGGACAGCCCTGTCACCCAGCCTGACGTCACTGCCCAGCTGCCGAATGTGCATCCTTGCCCAGTGAGTATGGCACATTCGTCAAGAGAGACCGTAGGCTGGGCACTAGGAAACAGGTCTCAAGTTGAAAGGAATTGAAATACTGAGTATGTTCTCTGACCATGGTGGAATTTAATAGGAGACCAACAGCAACAAAATCTTGAAAATTCTTAATTATTTGGGAATGAAATAGTACACCTAAATCAACCCTGGATCAAAGAAGAAATGAAATAGACAATTAGAAACTATTTTGAACAAATTATAATGAAAACACAGTATGTCAGAATTTGTGGGATACAGTTAAAGCAGGGTTTAAAAACTTGGGGCTTTGAAGGTTATACATTTGTATTAGATAAGAAAGTTCTTAAATCAGTGACTGAAGCTTCTACCTTAAGAAGCTAGAGAGAGAAAAACCAACCTAAGCCCAAAGTCAATAGAACTAGATAAAAGAGGGGCACCTGGCTGGCTCAGTCAGTGGAACACACGACTCTTGATCTCAGGGTTGTGAGTTCAAGCCCCATGTTGGGCGTGGAGCCTAGTTTAAAGGAAAAAAAAAAACAACTCAATAAAGCTAAGAGCAGAAATCCTTGAAACAGAAAATGGATGGGAAAAAAAGAAAATCAATGAAACCAAAAGTTGGTTCTTTGAAAAGCTCAATACAATTTACAAACTTTTGGCTATATTGAGCAAGAAAGAGAGAGAAGACACACATGACCAGTATGAGTACCAAGGAGAAGACATCACTCCGGCTCCTGTGGATGTTGTAAGAGAATATTATGAAGAATTTTACACCAACAGATTTGACAGTGTGCATGAAATGTGCACATTTCTTGGAAAAGATACAAATGACAAAAACTAACCTAACAAGTGGTCATATGTTATTGAATAAACTGAATTCATACTCAGAAAAGCTCCCTGTAGAAAAAACTGCAGGTCCTGGTGAATATCATCAAACATTTAAGGAAGAAATGATACCGATTCTGCACAGTTTTAGAGAATAAAGGGAGGAGGGGACATTTCTTGACTCATTTGATGAAGCATTGTCCTGATGCTGAGAGGAGACAAAGACATTTCAAGAAAACTGCAGATCAGTGCCCTTTGTGAACAGGACAGAAAGAACATTATCAAAATAGTAGCAGAAATTAAATCTTGGGGCGCCTGGGTGGCTCAGATGGTTAAGCGTCTGCCTTCGGCTCAGGTCATGATCCCAGGGTCCTGGGATCGAGCCCCACATTGGGCTCCTGGCTCAGCGGGGAGCCTCTGCCTCTCCCCCTGCTCCTGCTCTCTCTCTCTCTCTCTCTCTCTGTATCTCTGTGTCTCAAATGAATAAATAAAATCTTAAAAAAAAAAAAGGAAATTAAATCTGACATCTACAAGAATATGATCAAGTGGCATTTATCTCTGGAATGCAAGGTTAATTTAACACTTAAAAACCAGTTAGTGTAGGGACGCCTGGGTGGCTCAGTCGGTTAAGCGGCTGCCTTTGGCCCGGGTCACGATCCCAGGGTGCTGGGATCGAGTCCCACATTGGGCTCCTTGCTCAGCGGGGAGCCTGCTTCTCCCTCTCTCTCCCTCTGCTTGTGCTCTCTCTGTCAAATAAATAAAATCTTTAAAAAAACAAACCAGTTAGTGTAATTCAGCATATTAACAGAATGAGGGAGAAAAACTGTATTATCTTCTTAGTGAATGCAGGAAAAGCATTTGACAAAATCCGGTACCCATTCATGATCATGATTTAAAACAAACAAATGAAAAAAGCCTCAGCAAAGTAGGAATAGAGGAGTCCTTCCTTAACCAGGCACAGGACACATACGAAAACCTATAGCTGGCGTTGTAATTACTGGCGAGAGCTGGGGCGCTCCTGCCCACCGGAGCACCCAGCCAGCGTAGTAAGGCTGGGAAAAGAGAGGAAATGCAAAAATACTGGAAAGGAAGAAGAAAGACTGCCTTTTTTATTGTAGGTGATATGATCAAGTACATGAGCAAATAGGAAAGAACCAACAGAAACGCTGTTGGAGCTGTGGAGTGAGTTCGTGGGGGTCACAGGATACAAGGGCAATGCACAATAACCATCTGTGTTCTACGTGGTAGAAACCGTTCCAAATGAAATTTCGTTGTATTTACAATGGTATAAAAACATGAAATACTTAGGGATGAGATTTTTAAAATATGTGCGTGATCTTCACACTGAAAGCTCTAAAACATGGCTACAAGAACCTAAGTAAATGGACAGCAAGACCACATTTATGGCTTCAGAAGACTCCGTATTAAGAGTCTATTCTCCCCAAACTGATTTCCAGAGTCTGTGATCCCAGTCAAAACCCTCACAGGCTTTTTGGCAGAAACGGGTATTTCTAAAATGTGAAACTAAAGCTAACAATGTTGGAAGATTGATTCTGCCTGATTTCAAGACGTATCAAGACAGTGTGGTATTGGTGTAAAGATAGACATCCGGCAAATGGAGCAGAGCCCGGTGCCCAGAAACACACACATACAGTCAACTGATAGTTAACAGAAGGGCCACAGTAATTCACTGGGGAAGGGGTCAGATTTTCAAAACCGATGCAGGAACAACTGAATAGCCGTATGGGAAAAATAATGAACCTTGATCTCCTGCCACACACATGCATTAACTAAAGATAGGTAACAGCAGACCCAAGTGTAAAAGCATCTGGAAAACAAAGGGAGAAAAGCTTTGTGACCACAGCAGAGATTTCTTAGGTTACGTGAAGCACTGACCATAAAAGAGAAAAGATACAGTAAGTTGGGCTTAATCAAAGTGAAAAACTTGTGCTCTTTGAATGACACCATTAAGAAAATAAAAAGGCAAGCACAGACTTGGAGAAAATGTCGCTGATCTCTGTCTGACAAGGACTTGTATTTAGGATACATAAAGAGCTTGCAACGTAGCAAGAAACTAAATGAGCTACTTTATAAACAGAAGATTTGGACACGTCACAGAAGATAAAGAAATGGCCAGTAGACGTCTCTTTGCTTAATGTAATACACGAAACGCAAATTAAACCCCCAGTGAGATACCCCACACACCCCTGATGATGCAAAAGCTACCAGCGACAGTACCAAGTGTGAGCAGCTGGCCCTCGCATGCGTTGCTGAGGGGAAAAGTAGAAGGTCTGACCAGCCTGGAAAACGGTCTGACAGCACATGTAGCGGAAGGCCCGGCAACCTCCTACTTTGGTATTGATCCGAAGAAATGAAAGCCTATTTCCACACCACGACCGGCACTCAGATGCTCATCGCAGCTTATGTTTAATAGCCCCGAACTGGAAGCCGCCTGCCTGCCAGTCAGGTGAATGGATATTTGTAGTGGGTTAGATCCGTATAATAGACAAGTACTTACTCCACAGGAAACAGGAACGAACCCCAGACGCACACTACAGCATGGAGGAATCCCAGGAACGTATGCTGAGTGAAACAAGGCAGACACACGGAAGGGGACACACTGGGTGACTCCATTTATGGAAGAGCTTTCTATGGCAATCCTTGGTGATGGAAATCGGTTCAGAGGCTGCCTGTGGCCAGGTGTCAGGGCGGGGCCCATGGAAGCTTGAGCGTGCTGGAATGTTCTCCAGCAGGACTGTGGTGCCGGTGCTGGACTCGATGGGCGCATTTGTGAAAACCAACTCTGTGTGAAGGAGTTCATTTTTGTGGTACACAAGTCACACCCCGACAGTGAGTTTGCAGCAGCGACTTTTCCATTCGGAATGGGTGCTTCAGAGGTTGTGCTGGTGGACAGGGCTCAGGACCAGGTTTTCTGCCGTCCCTCTCATGCCCCGTGCAGTCATCCTGCTGCGGGTGATCCCAGAAAATTGGGGTACCTTTTTTCTCGCACCTCTGCTCTCCACTTGCTGACTCAGCCCCGGGAATCTTCTGCTTTGAGAGAGGAGCCTGCACTGGGAGTCCGTGCCTGCAGCCTTCAGGGTAAACAAGAGGGTGAACCAAGGCAGCGCCAGATACGTAGATGGAAGGCCCACCCGGGTTGCCACGCGGGGTTGGCCAAGGTGCCTGAGCAAGGTGTCTGGGCTCCTGGACGGCCTCCGGCAGCCAGAGCCACTCTGTGCTGTGCCCTCGGTGGTGGCCGGCACGCGGGCCTGGGTGGGACATGGGCAGCCTTGGGCGGGAGTCCTTGGTGAGGCTGCTTTCTTGTGTCTCCTAGGACTATGCCCAAGCAAGGTTCGATGCCTATTTCGACCAGAAGAGGAAGCTCGGGGTGTGAGTGTGTGAGGCGCCATCCACTTCATCCCTGGACTGCGTGGCGGCGGCCAGGCCAGCAGGGCCCTCCGCGCTCCGACGGCTGTCCCCGCGGCAAGGCTTGGATGGCTCGCTGCCGAACACAGATGTGTATGATATGAAAGACTGTATTAAAATTGAGTAACATTTATATCCTATCTTGTTTACGATTTCACTAGGACTCTGCAATGAGATCGGGAAGCAGAAACATAGTACAATAGCGCAATAGTGCAATCTCAGAATCCTTTGAGTCTAGAGAAGGCATTTTCTATGTGGGGCCTGAAGTTTGCAGTCAGATACGGCAGACAGCACGAGTAAACAGTGTTTCTGCGGGTACTTTTTTTCGGTTAATGTTGATTTTTCAAGGACTTGAATTCATGTGCTGGGGAACACTGTGACCAGGCCTTCAGTGGTGACAGTGTGTGTAGATGCCGCCGGCTCCTGAGGGCGGCGAGTGAGGAGGGACAGACTGTGACGTTGCTCTGCGGCCTGACCGACCGCGAGTGCCCGGAAGCTGCTCGCTCACCCTTCTGGTCCACACGGTGGATGCTCGAGGCAGCAGACGCCCGTGCGGGGGGTGAGCTGTTGTCTCCGTTCGATGAATGTAGCTCCTCCGGACCTGTTGTACATATTTTGTCCCGCAGACGCATCTCCCCCGTCTGTCTGTGGCCTCTGCCCTGCCCTCCTCCTCCACTGAATGTGCCCTACTAACCCCGGCCTTGGCGGGCAGGCACCTGCGGACACACTCGCCTCCTGCCTGCCCTCCCCCCAGAAAGCAGGCTTTGCCCTGCTCTCCACGGCCTGTTCTCTTCCACTTCTGCTCAGCCCCGGGTTGTGGATTCTGTGACAGGGCTGGCGGCCCTGGGCATCATCCTGCTGCCGTGCCTGCCGCCGGGGCCCTGGTGCGCCCAGTGGGGAGAGGGTGGCCTGGCCTGGCCTGGGCTCTGGGCCGGCTCCCCCTGCCCTCCCTGCCCCCGGTGTCCCTGACGGGGTGGTTCTGGTGGGAAAGAGCAGCCTGTATGTGGAATGTGGGGGCATGGATACACTAGAGCTGTGAAACCCTTATGTATAGTAAATGTCCTTTGGGATAAAGTTTTTTTTTTTTTTCTCTGAACTCTTATTTGAATTGCTTTTTGTGCATACATTTCTGCTACCGGAGATTGTACTATACAAACAATAAAAACATAAAACCCTCCTCACTGTCATCCTTGGTTGTGTCCTAAATCTTGGGCAGGGCTCCTGTTAGTTACCTGGTTTTGCCTGTGGAGGGCTCCCAGCGGGTCCTCCCAGCTCTCCACCCCCACCCCCGCAGAGACCTCTGGAAGGATATAGAAGAAACCAGGAGCAATGGGATGTGCTGCAGGAAACTGAACGGTCAAGGCAGGAGAGAGATTTTCCACTATTCACTCTTCCAGACATTTAAAAGTTTAGCCAGGTGAATGTGTTCTGGGATCCAAGCAATAAAACTGAGCAATAGATGATAACTGTGCTCCTTTGTAAGGTCTCCCCCAGAGCGATGCTCCCCCCACCCCTTCCCTGGCCCCGCCGGCCCCACCCTCCCTGCAGCATCTGGAGGCCCTGAGCAGGGCGGCCCTGGCCCTGGGGGCCAGGCTCCCCCCAGCAGCTGGCCAGATGACAGCCCCAGTGATAGAGCCAGGCCACCCGGCTTGCCATGCCCAGGGCATCTCTGGCCTCAAAGCAGCCTTTGTTCCTGGGGCCTCCTGCCGGAAGAGCCACTCTGCAGCTCCTCAGCCCGAGAAAGGGAGGCCTCTGAGAAGCACTGGCACCACCCCCCAGCCGGTGGTGGGATCCAGGCCAGAAAGACATGCACAGTGCTCCTCTCCACCCCACCAGTCGAAGGATGGCCTCGGGGAGCAGGACTGGTCACCCAGGGAGGGATGGGAGAGACGGTGGCCTTCCCTGAAGGGGCAGCAGGACCTGGAGTCCAGCTCAGTCCTTTTCCTGACCCTCCAGGCCCCAGACAACTGCTCAGCTGCCCGGACAGCCTCTGCCGTGTGTGTGTGTGTGTGCAGCCTCTGCCGTGTCCGTGTCCGTGTGTGTGTGTCCTCTGGTGTGTGTGGGGTGTGGTGTGTGTGTGTGTGTGTCCCCTCTCCCCACTTCTGGGTCAGGCTCTGGTGTCCCAGGCTGCTCCCTGCCTCAGACCGTCTTGAGTGCCTGGGGTGGGGCTAGCACCAGGGCATGGAAATACTGGACCATCGTGCCAGGCATCACCCTTCATGCCCAGAGTATCCCGAACATTCCCTTACAGCCAGTTTGCACGTCTCCAAGGATGGGGAGCTCAAAACTAGAATGTGCTGGAAAGATCCCTCCCTGGTCCTAGTTCTGCGCCCCCCCCCCCTTTAGCCCAAGGCTCTGGGATTACTGCAGATGTGCTTGTATAGCCTCTCCCCAACTTCCCAAGGCCCCAGGTCCTAGACCAGGGCCTCCCACCCCACTGCACCCTACAACAAGCTCAGCTGCACGGGAGAGCGTAAGGAATATGAGCCGGGCACGGAGTCCATGACCCCGAGTCTCATGGGGTGAGACCAGTCCGGGCCCAGGGCCCAGCCTGGCACTGCAGACAGGACCAAGACAGAGTTCCTAGTCCATCTTTATTTCTTGTCTCCGTAGGGAAGGGCAGGGGCCTGGGCGTGGCCACAGGTGGGCGCTAGTCCTCCTCCGCGAAGGTGAAGGGGCTCAGCTTGTAGCCACTGCCTAAGTAGAACTTGTTCTGAAACTCTACCCTGGGGGTGACAAGGGGAGAGCTGGTGAGGGGCAGGCTCCCCCGACCCTCATGTAGCCCGGGGCCAGCCAGGTGGGCCACTCACCAGTGCAGCCGCAGTGCATGCAGGAAGGCCGAGAGCCCCTCCATCACCAGCAGGATGGCCACGGTCAACCCGGCGAAGGCGGCAAAGATGGGGACCAGCACCACAGCTGCCACGCCCAACTCATGGCCCATGCGCAGGCCCACACGCATCACCATGGCCCACAGGACCTCCGACAGCTCTGGGGATCGGGGGGGCAGCAGTGGAGGCCAGGGCCCAGGGGGTGCCCAGCTGGCCCCCGTGGCAGCCTGAAGCCCCCCCCCCCGCCCCTGTGGGGCCGCTGAGGGGCCTCCAACAACATCCTCACTTTACAGAGGGGATGCTGAGGCCCAGAGCAGTGACCCACCCAGGCCACCCAGCCAGCAGCTCGAGTGTCCGAGGCAGCCAGGGCCTGACCCATGGCCAGCCCGCCCATCGGGGGCCAGCACACTCACGGGCATGGGCCAAGCTCAGGGCCCAGAGACGCAGGTAGGAGGCTGTGTTGGAGATGCAGCCCAGGCAGAACTCGATGGTGTGGATGGCCTGGTGCATGAGCACCTCGGACAGGACAAACTGGGAGGTGGGTGGCGGTGAGGGCCAAGCCGGGCTGGCAGCCACCCCCCACCCACACACACACTCGGGAAAGACCACACCCACCTCGGCCTCCTCTCTGTCCCCCGGGCACCCCACTTTCTCCTCATCAGAGCCCCAGCCAGCCACGGAGGCATCAGAGGAGTCCAGAATCCCGGACTTGTCCTCTTCCTGGAGGTGGGGGGCAGGCAGTGTCAGGAGGCGCCCCCGCCCCTCAGGAGGCCGAGAGGCGGCGAGGGTGGGGCCAAACCTCCCATCACCCCACGTGCCCCCCTCCCCACCCCGAGCCTCTACCGGCTGGCGGCCAGTGGGCCTCAGTGAGCGGCGGTGCTGCCAGCGCAGGAACAGGGGTGTGCCAAGCAGCAGGACGGGCACGGTGGCCAGGGCCAGGACCACCAGTGCAGACTGCACCACCTCCTGTGGGGGCGGGGGGGCGCTCGAGTCAGGGTGCCCTCTGTGAGCCACGCGCCCAGCTCGGGGCCCCAAGAGCCTGCAGCCCGCTCCACCGCACCCAGGGCCCCTCGCCAAGCCGGGATCCTGGGGGAGGAGCGGCCGGCACCCCACCATCCCTCGACCTCCCCGGCTCACAGCCTCAGGCCTGCATCCCCGCTTCTCAGATGAGGTGCCCACGAGGACCCCCGCCCCGGCCTACCTGCCCAGGGAAGAGGGACCGGTTGGTGGGGCTGTGGGAGAAGAGGAACATGTTGATGAAGTGGATGAGGAGGCTGGGGGCTGTCGCAGCGCTGCTGGCTGAGCAGCACAACCACTTGTAGATGACCAGGAAGACGAGGTAGCCAAAGAGCCCCAGCAGGAAGATCAGCTCGGGCAGCGTCTCCAGGAGCAGCCGGTGCCACTGGCCAAAGTGCCTGGGGGCGGGGGTGTCACCAGGTCAGCCACCGGGCCACCCTGGTCCCACCTGGCCCGGTGCCCGGCCTGGTGCCCCCACCCTCCCCGGGAGCCCAGGCCCTCACACGTGGTTGAAGACTCCCAGAACCACCCCGAAGGTCATGTGGGTGACCCCGAGGATGATGGACATCTTCATCTTGAAGGAGTTGAGGAAGCTCAGGTGGTTAACGGCCAGGCTCCAGACCTGGGGTGGCAGGAGGGACGGCTGTCATGCAGGGGCCTCCCTGCCCACGTCCCTCTCGGCAGCCCCTCTGTCCCCCGGGGGGGGTGGGGGCCGTGGCACCGGCTGCCACCCGCTGGCCCACGGCGGGGCAGCAGAAGGGAAAGGTGAAGTGCCCACACAGGCCAGGCAACCGGGGCCCAAACCCCAGCTCCTCCCCACCAGGTGCCCCTGCCCATGTGACCTCCCAAGCCCCTGCGTCCTCATCGGTGCAGTGGGAGCAGCGCTAACATGGACCTCATGGCACTGTCAGCAGGACGGTAGCACGTGCTGGCATGCGGACAGCACACGACGGTGCCCAGTCCGGCGGGCTCCGAGCAAGCCAGCGCTGCCCTCGCTGCCACACACTCCTCTCTGCTTTGAAGGGGCTGCTGCAAGGTGGGCCCCTCGTCCTTGTGGAGCCCCACACCTCCCGCACCTGGCACCAGGCCAGGCCCTCAGGAGGGGCTCACAAATGCAGCAGGAGGGCGAGGGTTAACATCAGGGTCAAGGTTGGGTCAGGGTTAGCGTGGGAGCCCCGGCCCAGCCCTCCCACCTGCGCGCGCCCCCCACAGCAAGTGGCCGGGACTCACGGGGTCAATGCCGAAGGGGTAGGGTCCCAGGAAGACACCGCTGACTGCGGGGTCCAGGGTGAGCAGCGGGTGCTCGGCCAGGAATGCGTCGCTGTGGCAACAAGGGCGGGCGGTCAGGGGCTGCCGGGGGCCGCGGGGCCGCGGGGGCTGCGGGGGCCGCGGCCGGGCCTCACCTCCAGCCGGACTGGGTGGCCATGGCCGCCACGCTCCAGCCCGAGGGGAAGATGGTGGTGGCGCGGCTGAAGCACTCGTTGTAGATGAAGCCAGTGTAGATGGAGAAGAGCCCCATGAGCAGCAGCAGGTAGCGGCCACTGAAGAAGGTCTGCCAGATCTGGGGGGCAGGGGGGGCGCCGTGAGGGGGTGGGGTGGCCCTGGCCCCCCCCCCCCCCCCCCGCGCTCCCGCCCCCCCTCACCTCGTTCTGCGCCGCCTTCACGGCCGGCCGGTTCTCCGCGAGCACCATGGCCAAGGCGAAGAGGAACATGAGCAGCCCGTGGCCCACGTCGCCGAACATCACGGCGAAGAGGAAGGGGAAGGTGATGATGGTGTAGGGCGCTGCGGGCAGAGGGGCCAGGCGGTCAGGGGGACGTGCACAGCTGGGACCTGGGGAAACGTGGCGAGGCAGGGACGCCAGACTGCGTGTCCTGGCTGTGTGACCATGGGCTAGGGACTCAGCCTCTCTGAACCTCGGTTTCCCCATCTGTA